CCAAACCTTCCCTTCCCAAACCTTCCCAAACCTTCCCAAACCTTCCCTTCCCAAACCTTCCCTTCCCAAACCTTCCCTTCCCTTCCCAAACCTTCCCTTCCCAAACCTTCCCAAACGTTCCCTTCCAAAAGCACTGATGCCTTTTATCCCCTCAAGGGATAAAAATAGGGAATCTAGGCAAAAAAAAAAAAAAAGGTGCAAATCCTTTTATGTAAAGGGATATTAATGCAAATTAACTGTTAAACTCCTTTCTTCTCCTCACCTTCCAGCTGTGTTGAAAACACCCCTCCTTTTTTTTTTTTTCCCCCTGTAGCTCTAAACATAACAACTTAACAAAAAGGATCCTTAAGAAAGTTTTGTGAGGAATTTGTTTCCTTAACTGGTCTCTTCTTCCTCAGGTAGTGGCTCCAATCCTTTCCAGCATCTGGAGAAGAGTGCTGTGCTCCAGGAGGTAGGAATAATCAGGATATAATGCTGTTTAACTCTGGGTTTGTTTTCTTTCCCTTCAGGAAATGCGAATGGATAAATTAATGTAGTTAATTCAAAACCACAGAGGATGTCAATAAAGTCACTTTATCTGACGTGATCCACGTGGACATGTGGAGTCTCAGGGGGCTCTTTCTGAAGGAAAAAAGTGTTTTGTTTCTGAATAAAAAAAATGTTTTATTTTAAGGTATTTTTGTTAGTCCCAGGTGGTAGATTGAGTGGTTGTTCAGATCCAGCAAACTAAAGATGGATGAGCTGAAGGACAGGAATGTGTTCTCTGGGACACATATTTAGAATTGAGAGACATTTGGAGTTGAATGAAAATTACAAGTGACTTGGTTGAAAGTTTCCCTACCTTCTGTGGTGAAAGAGAAATAATTATAGTTGGTTTACACTAAATCAGTATTTATTCCATGTCTCCAGGCACGGATCTTCAATGAGACCCCCATAAATCCACGGAGATGCCTTCACATCCTCACCAAGATCCTTTACCTGCTGAACCAGGTAACTGTTGGAATTTCTTCCCAGCCAGAGTGAATATTCCTGAGGCTGATTCCTGCCAGCTTTCAGTGGGAAAGAACCTTCCCAGCTCATCCTGTCAGCAGGAAAACTGCTTGGCAAACTATTCCCTCTCTGGGAATGGGATTTATATTAAAACCCGAGGGGTAAACTTGATGTTTATCCCCTGGGAAAGAAGGTGAGGGAGGGGAAAATCCGCGGGAACAGATTCCTGGTGCGTGGGAAGGGATTAAAGATGGGGCTGAAAGGTGGAGGCAGCTCAGTAACAACACTGGTTTTCCTCTCACTCCTTCCATGGGAATTCCAGGGCGAACACTTCGGAACCACCGAAGCCACGGAAGCTTTTTTTGCCATGACCAGGCTGTTCCAGTCCAATGATGTGAGTACCTGGTGTTCTGCTGCTTTTGCCTGGACTTGCAGGGACTGCACAACAGTTGGATTTTTGGGATGTGGGAGGGAAGCGCCTCCGAGCCTGGAGGCGATTCCTGCTTTGGAAACAAAGGGCTGAATAATCACACGGTTCTCCTGTGGGTTGTTTGGGTGGGTTCTGAACTGGATTGCTGTTGTTAAGGCTGTGAATAATGCCAGAGCTTTCATACACAAATTATAATTATAATTGGTGCTTTTACCTGCAAATAATCCCCACCTGCTCGACTCAAACGGGAATTAAAAGGTTGCCTGTGGATCAAAAGCTCTGACACCGTCTCCCACAGCACACTCCTGGAAAAGCTGCAGCCAGGGCTTGGCCAGGGGCACTCTGGGCTGGGTGAGGAACTGGCTGATGGCCCAGAGAGTGGTGGGGATGGAGCTGCTTCCAGCTGGGATCCGTC